ACAGCTTTTTTTATCAATCTTGTGGATCGTTGGTTTAACATAATGACAAATAGATTTCGTATCATGGCTCTTAGTAAATTTAATATTGAGGCATATAATGAAGCCATTGCTCATCTAAAGAAGACTCAGCAAGTGTTTCGTTCCATGTTAATAGGAAAAAAGGGACACTGGAAGCCAATACAATCCGGAGTAATAATGGCAACAGAAAGCATTCTTGAGTTGCAGGAATATTTTTTAAATGAAAAGGGATACAAATTTTTACTAACAGGTCGATTCACACAAGATTGCCTCGAAAATTTATTTTCTCTCATACGATTTAGGCAACCTATTCCAAATCCTCTTAATGTTAAACAAAACTTGAAAGTTATTACAATCACTCAAGTTTGCTCATACTCGAAAATTACAAGTTATAATAATGATGTGAAAGAAGATAATTTTGAGCAAGTCAAGTTGGATTTTTTAAAATCATCAAAGGAAATAGCAGCAGCTAGAGAAAAAGCAGGAGAAGTGGATGCTTTTATGGAAGGTGCTGCCATTTATGTTCCAGAATTACAAGATAATTACATGAATCTTATTGATATTTGGGAATGGCCTATTATATATGACATCGCTGGAGCAGTTGTAAAGTCTGTCAAAAAAACAATAAAAGTATGTGACACATGTTACAAATCCGTTCTGTGGCATGGTACAGATTCTCATCCATTTTCAATTGTTGTGGATTTTCGAAGCTATGGAGACAGCAGCTTGTGCAGGGTATCAGATTCCTGTTTTAAAGCCATTATGAAAGCTGAAATTACATTTCAGGAACTGAGAGACGCGTTTGAAAAAGTAGAAAATATTAAAATTATTGATTTTATTGTTGAGAAGCTATTATATGTTTGGGAAAGTACCAATATTCCACAATGCCACAATATTACAGCAAAGATTTTGACCAGGTTTTTCCGTATGCAATTTAGAATGTTTAATATTCAACGTAAAAAATATCTAGAGAAGGAAAATAAAAGCCGCACACATAGTAGTAAAACAATAGATATGCATATGGTTGTTGACCGTCTTTAAAAGGTAAAGTCATTTCTTCTTAATGTGCCTTAATTCATATCAAAAGTAGTGTGTAGATTTATATCAGAAGTACAAATTTTAACTCTTAATTGTGATTCTACATATTGTGATATTATGAAACTAAGAATGTTAAAAATGTTTTGTTTATCTGATGTTACATATAGTATATATTATCGTCCCGTTTGACTACGTTGCAATTAAACATAGCCAATCTCAATTACTTAATTAGATTATTGTTTAATTACATTGCTTAATTAGTTATATCATATATGAAGACCTTTTCATTTAAAAAATGATTTTATTGTATGTTTTATTAGATTTATTGAGAATCAACATACGATCTACATGTAATTGACAAATCAGATGTGGCTATGGTCAACTGCAACATGGTCAATATGTATTTATTCTTAAATAGTTATAATAATCGAGGCATTTCTGCAGTTGTGAAAATTTAATTTTAATTTTTATTTTTATTTCTTGCGAGGAGTATTTACATTTAAAACTTCTGTCATGTTAAAGTAAAATATTAATAAAGAATTTTTTTAAGAAAGAGGTATAAAATAAAAATGTACGCGATTAATAGATAGATATTGATAGATATCGCGATAAATATCGTGTATGCGATATACATATTTTTTACAAATTTATAATTGTGATTCTCAATTGTGATTCTACTTGATATAAAACTTAAGAATGTTAAAAATACTGTATAAAACTTCTTGTATATGATGCAATATTAGCAATAAAAATCTCGATTTTCATTTAAAATCACAAATTTTTCTTCTTTTGTACTCTGGCATAATACTTTTTCCATCGTCGTCCGCTTGAACTTGTAACTTTCATGAATAGTCGCTTCGTACAATACATCTTACTCTCCATTTGTTCAATAGCAGAAAGCATCACCATCAGTTTATTTAGGTTTGCATCATGCTCACGTTCCAGATGGATGATTTTTTGTGAGGCTTCATCATTTTGAGCTTTTAGTTGATCGATGAGCAATTTATTACTTGCAGTATCACAAGGAGTTTCGGAATTAGATTGATTTATAGAAATTTCTGAAGTCTCATCAATTGTGTACTGTAAGAAAAAATTGCTATATTTAAAAAATCATGCAGTAGAAGGCACTATTTAATACACACATATACGTACACAAATGAAATATAAAATAATTAATCCTCTGCAGACTAACCTATTTTTTCACTACTTAGTCAATATGACTAACTTTCCGCAGGTTAGTCTGTGGAAGGTTAAAAGGACAACTAAACTAACCTGATCAATGTAATGCTTCCATTCGTCATCATTGTATATTTGGGAAGCGCTCACTTCCTAACAAAATAGAAAAATATTAATGTTCAAATACATTATGATCTTATTGGAATAATGCATTCAATAAAATTAGAATCGATTGTATATATACAATACGTCATTTACCTCTTTGCATGACATTTTCAATTTTCACCATCAATTATCACTCAATCACCACATTTATTCAATAAAAAACATGAAGAGAATAAAACTGCAACATGTATTAAACATGTGTATCGAACATTTTAACCTCACGCTGACGGAGTATGTTTATATATATTAAATGGAGTTTGATGTTTGATGACATGGAGCAGTCCCAATATGGCGGTGCTGGAGGTGATGGTGGGGATGCGAAGTCTGTAGTGGGGGTTCAATGTCGCTTCTCTCTTTATATAGGACTCTACTTGCGGGCAACCTCACCGATGCGATGCCTTCTCTTCGGTCTTTTCGGGATCCTCGCCGTCACCTTGTGCCAACAGTCGTCGCAGGACGAAACGAATACCCGACTCGGGACGGCTATCGCGAATCTTAAGGAAACTTATGAATCGTGTTCGTACTTGCCGACGGACGACTAGAGAGTGTCTCGCTAGATCCGCTCGATTGCGGAATCGATGTGGCACCCCCTTCCGTAGGGGCGCGCCGACCAATCGGGACCGAGCTTGCAAGCTCGCGCGATATCTCAACGTAGGATCGTCGTAAGGGGATCCTTCGAGGGCGCGCAGCGGTCCCTTGGCGGCGTAGCGACTTCTTCAATTTGTCCCTGGGCAGCGGACTGGACTTTGTTCTGGCCGGTGTGCCTCCGGTTTGACCTCGGGGCGGTGGCCAGCCACCCTGCGGGCCGGTATTTCGTGGAGGCAGATTGCTGAGGCCGGGTTTTCCCCGCTATCGGCGGCGGCCTTACCCATCGCTGCTTCATTCGCCGCACGCCTACCGCGTTGCTCTCGCCGCCCGGGATCCCAGTGGTTTCCGCTTTCGCCACTCCTCCTCGGTCCCTGATCCTCCTGGACCCCTTCCGTTACGGGTACTCCCTCGAAGATTCGCCGTGGTGTGGGTGAGGCGCCGCGCGTATTACGATTACATAAAAGAAAATAAATAATCAAATTGCGGATATAATATTAATTTTTCGGCCCCTGGAGATCTCGTCGTCGCCTCTCTGACTTGTCCCTGGGCGCAAATTTCCGCGCCTTGTGACGGCGGCGGGGCGCTGCCATGAAGCGGCGGGCCGCAACGTCATAGTACATATGTCTCAATTTATGCATAAAAACAAAAGACACGAAAAGACAGTATAAAAGGAAAGTGCTACAAATGTATTTTTATAATATAATACACAATTGTTTTGAAATAAAGAAATATTTTTTTAACTTTATCCGTTTATTTTCTTTTTAATTAACAAAACGGATTGTACATACCCTCATTTTTTTCATATCTACGATTCTTGTTTCTTTTTTTTCCTTATTACGAACACATTTTATATAATTCTCTGAACGGATTATATAAAATTCTTGTAGTTGAAACGACAGGTGTGAATATTTAATCTTTCCCCCAAGCTCATACTATATAATTTTACATATTAGCCAGTGACTACATCGTATTACGTGCTGTGTAACGGCTCGCGAGTTACGATAATGTTCAGCGCTGACAGTGATAGTCCAGAGCGGATAATTTATCGACACAGACCATTGATATCGATCCATTTCTCTAACTGTACTTAGTTAGTCCTTATAATCTTTGTAGAATGTCCCGCTACTTGAATTGTACATTCTGAAATGTTAATTAGTATCTTGATGTCTATACATCTATGATATAAGTGATGATATTGATACAGTTTCACATGAATGCAGTCTTCAATTAATAATGCAAATGTTTATCAAGATACTATGGCCCTATCACAAGCCTACTCCCACACAGCACATATAGATACTGAGAACGTTTGAAAGATATGGCAACAGTATATTGCGTACATTCTCAAAACATTTGAGATACGTACTGCGATTTACTGCGGACAGAAGATTTCTAATACGTCCGCTTTTTTTCAGTTCGTAGTATATACTGAGAATATTTCGCAGTAAATACCAAGAACATCACAAGTACCAATATAGAACCAAGGATAGAATGTGCGCGGTATACTGTTGTAAACGGCGATTGAGGCCGTAAACCCCGTTTGAATTTCCCGCGCTTATTTACGAAGCGCTCGCGTAGGTACACTCGCGCCTGGCGCCACCTAGGGCTGCGTTCGAAAACGTCACCCGGGTATACACGGGTATACTCCCTTCTCCTTCTAACTTGCTGAGATAGAAAGAGAAGGAAGTATACTCGTGTGCACTCGGGTGACGTTTTCGAACGCAGCCAGAGCGTTCGGATTGGTGGATGCATGTGTGCTGTGATTGGCTGTGGCAGGTGTGCTGTGATTGGCTGATGCATGCGTGCGGCGATTGGTTGTGAGTCTTTGCGAGGGAGACACTCCCTGTTCAAATCACTTCTTGTATAACCGGCGTACGAGCAAGTCGTAATAGTAACGCGCGGATCTTTTTCAATAAATATATTGCGTTTTATCGAGTTGACCCGTTAATCAATTAACCTGCAATCCTGATCGTCCTCCCTTACAGTCTCAGAAGTGGGATCAAGCTCGATTACGCGATTTGCGTGTGAAATTTTTTTTTTAAGCCGATTTGAGTGGGTTCTTGCCACGCGGAAGTGAACCGCCAAGAACATTCGACGCCATTCGCGAGCCCCGCGAACAGATACAGTCTCGCAGATCGCGAGCATTCCACGCAAGTATCCGGGAAAAGTGCCGGTACCACAATCAATTACGCGAAGTGCGTAATTCGCGAACAATCATCGCCGTT